AACTATTATTGTATCATTCTTTAAATCATTTTTTATTATTCTTGGCATGTTTTTACTTATGTTAGTATATGCCTTGGCTGGTGTTATACTATTTGGTTGTGTTAAATTTGGTCTTGAACTTGGACGACATGCTAATTTTAAAACAGTTCCTAATGCAATTATTCTATTAATGAGAATTGTTACTGGTGAAGATTGGAATAAAATAATGCATGATTGTATGGTTGCACCACCACGATGTACACGTGGTGGTTCCTACTGGGAAAGTGATTGTGGAAATTCAACAGCTTCTATACTTTATTTTTGTTCGTTTTATATTATAATTACTTATATTGTATTAAATCTTCTGGTGGCTATTATTATAGAAAATTTTTCATTATTCTATTCAAGTGAAGAAGATCCATTACTTAGTTATACGGATATTCGTCATTTTCAAACAGTTTGGAATATGATTGATACAGAACGTAAAGGTATTATACCAGTTCGACGTGTAAAATTTTTATTAAGATCACTTCGAGTAAATATAAATTAAATATTTAATTTAATAATATAAATCTATAAATCTATATATATTTCTAATGTATTTTATAGGGAAAATTAGCAGTAGATGCAAAAAAACTCTATAAACATATGTGTTATGAAATTGAAAAATTAAATAATGGTAATGATGTAACATTTCATGATGTACTTAAGTAAATATAAAATTAATTTTAATTTTTTTATGTCGTCAATTTTTATGCAAGACGATCTATGAACTACAGAGTATTCCAAAAGTTTACTACAAAATAAAATTTGAATAACTCTTCTGCAATTCAATTAAATTACATGTTTCTTTTACGATTTGATTCCATACTCATCAAAGTTTTATTCAGCATATTTTATATAAAATGAGTGTACACCTATGAAGATTAGAATAAAAATTGTTTTATTAGTGGATAACTTTGAGTTATTGAAGATTGTGAAACAAAATTTGCGCATAAAACTGGACAAAGAAATGTCAAATAAACATAGTATGAAGGAATTCTCTCGATAACGCCTTACAGTAACAACACAAGAAAGTATCGCTGAAGTACATGTTGATATCAAAAATGTATGAACATCAAATGTTGCATCTGATTGCAAAGTTTATTTAATAGCATATTGAATCCTGTCAGAGCTGAGTAAATAATTCAACAAAGTGAGATTTCGTCTGATTTTAACGATCAAGTACATCAATGTCAGCGTTACATTTTTCCTATCACGACGAATTTCGAGAGAAGGTTCTATTCGATGAACTCTATGTCCATATCACCTTAGTGCGATTCAAACTTTTTTTATGCAAACACATAAAAGACGATGTCTATTAAAGATAACATTGAAATAACAATAAGAATCAGTAGCAAAAATAAAACGATTTCATAGAAAATTCTATAGAACGTTATTTTTCAAATATTTGACAACAGTGAAATTGCGTATTTCAATTGAGTCCATAGGCAGCGAAATGTTTTGACTCTAGGATCGACTCAACATTTGTTATAAGATCCTCATCTAGAAGTTAAAAATGACAGAAGAAAGGTTTTTGAATGCCACTTAGATAGAATACAATTAGTGTCTCTGCTATCGAATTCACATTTTGCAACGTGTAACAGTGATGCAGATTAGAAAAAAATTTGCAACTTGCATAAAAAAATAGGAATTTGAAAAAACATGCGACGTTCGAAAGAAGATATTCTAATCTGGCTTACCGAAAAAAACGTTTAATGGCGAAATCGATATGCTTCACAAAAAAGAATATGTTCCATTGTAACCTTCTTCAATGTTGAAAATGTTTAATAGGCATATAATCTTAGTTGACGAAGACAAAGGAAAAATTTTGAAGATTCTACTTAATTCGGCTTAGATTTTTCGTACCGTTCTTTTGGACACTATATCTCCTTATTTGCATTTCTGGAAGATTAAGTAAAAGGATAATAAAGAAATGTATCCTATAATAGATAGAATAAAACAATTACTCGAGGATTAGCAACAGTAACTACATCGTGTTTCACATTTTAATCTCATAGGAATTGTGCTAATAACTGTTTGTTTTTCTTTTATTAGTATATTAGCGTATCGTTCGGTTGATATTCGTAAATCGTTACAATTCGAAGAATTAGTTGTTCGTGAAGAACTTGAATATTTAATTGAAGAAGAAGTAGCAAAATTAACAATACGTAGTTGGCTTAATAAATGTTTAAAACGTATTAAAGCAAAAGATCAAACAAATGTTAGTAAAAATTTACAATGTAGTAATGAATTAGCATTTTTTCGTGAAGCACAAGCAATAACAATAAATGAATCATTAAAAAGAACAACAGATAATGTAGGCAGTGAAGAAGAACGACGAATAAAAAATCGTGATGATCAACAACAACAAATACAAAAAGATGTTGTCAAAGATAAACTTGATAGGACAACTACATTACCAATACCTTCAAATGATTTCAATGTAGAATATCGATTGATTTTCTTTTTTATTCAATATCGTTTTCTTTTTAGAATTCAAACTATCGAACACAAGCAGGTATACGTAATACACCTATTGAATCTAAAGGAGCACGACGATCAATGCCGCAACAATTACAACAAAGTGTTAGTTTGACTTTAAGTAGTGATGAATCTTATCGATGGCGTTCATGGCAAACAAGTAATTTTAAGTATGGGCGAAAAGATGTTGAATCATGGTGGGCTAATCAATTTCAAATGTCAACTTAAAGTAACAAAAAGAAAACAAATAAATCTATACCTCCGAATAGATTATATTCAAAATATTGCGGTGATTTATGTGCGCTTGGTTTGTCTCGAATAATATATGAATCCGTATTATTGTAGTCTTTGTTTTTATTTCCGATGTTTTTTTTTCTGTTAAACACACATCTATTCTATTTTTTTATAAAAACAAAAGATATATATATATAGCATGAATTAAACATTGTCACGCTATAGAATATAAAATAAATTGGTAAATTTCTGTATAGGTCGTGAATGTAATAAAAATTCAAATATAATTATATAGTTTTTTTGAAACATAAAATCTCAAGAAAATAAAACTACATACATCTCCTTGTAGCATAATTATAACATTCGTTTACATATAAAAATATATAAACAGTCAATTTGTTTTCTGTAAAATAATCTATTGATTAGGTATGAAACGAAAATATATTATAATGGTTATTGACGTTCGATGTGCTTGTGTTGTTGAATACTAACGACAAAGAAACCATATTCAGGTGAAAATATAACATACTATAGAACTTTGACAATTTGTTATTGTCGAGCTTTGGATTACTCATTTTTAAAATTATTGTTCAACAAAATGTTGTCGCTATAGTTTTGAAGTTAGTTTCTTGTGCTTTCAATTGGAATAGAGTAACATTAGATTATCACAAAGTGATATCAATCACGATTCTAGATTATTGCTCATCTGATATCACGGCTTGTTCAATATCAGAAAAAGAAAAAATAAATTACATGGACGAAAGATTATTATTTAATGTTAAAATCTCGCTATTTTCTCGAATCGGTACTGTCTGAAGCCAAGAATAGGACTCATATTAAGAATAAAAATAAATGAACGCTTTTATTCAACTTAATTTATTGTTCTTTTTATATAATCAATGAGTTAATTTATATTTTTTAAATGTACTGAGACATTCTCTTACGTATATTATATTAGTTCGTAATAGATCTGATATAAATAAATATATAGTTTAGGTTGGTGGTGTGGGTGTGGGTGTGGATGTGTAGTCAAAAGTCAAACACGCACACGCACACGCACACACACCCAGCCAAGTTTTTCCAATAGACAGTTATTAGAGTGTTTGGTTCGATCAATAAAGCAAATCCTACATAGCTACGAGACCGTTTCAGATAGAATATGGTTTGATGTAGAAACACAGCGATTATACAGCGATTTCCATCGTCTAGTTGAATGATTGAATACTTAACACATAAATGGCATTAAAATCTATTTCTAATTGGTGTCAGTAGGTCTCTGAATTTCTTGCGATATCCTATTGCATAGATTTTGATCCTTGACTCATGTGTATACACTAATCGACGATCTTGCCCTATTCTTTCCAGGTTCTTGTTTTTCTTTACTTTCAGACAAGATTCCTGTATTCAGG